AAGTGGAAGAAAGCTGCTCACATCATGGACACCAGGCAGCAGAGAGAAGGCAGGAACTGAAGACAGTGACACACCCTTCCAGTCATTCCTCTGGAGACCCACCTCTTTTCATCAGACCCTACCTCTTATCAGCAACTCGGCTGTGCCACCCCATAACCCAATCACCTGGTAAATGCATTGGGCTTTGGGGGCCACTTACAACCTAAACCATAAGAGCCAGCTTTTGCTGTAGAGCTTGTTGATGTGTAAAGCTGTAGCTGGTTTTAAAGAGAATAGAAGCCCAGGTTAAGAGCTGTGAAAGCAGTGATCTGAAGCCCCTCATTGACCTTGAGAATGAGAAGGAGGGACTATGGTGCCAGCTCTGGGAATGCAAACAGATAGACTGTGGTGATCAGCGGAAGAGGCCCAAGCCCAGGAATCAGGGTCATCCCCAAATGGAGCTCATCTAGGTGCTTCTCCCTCCAGCCGTTTGCCAGTCACTGACATCTCAGGAAGCATCACGAGAGCAGAGGAGTAGGCAGGCCCAGGTGACAGGTATTTGTAGTTGACCTGTACAGGAATCTGTACTTGAGAATCACAATTTCTAGATTCTCTTAAAAAATCAGGTGATCTAGCCACAATGGACCCATGTTCCTATGGGCCAATAATCAGCAAGAGTGAAGAGCCATGGCGCAGATAGGAGGTGGTCTCCTGTTCACATCCCTGACTCTCACCTGCCTTCATTCATTTAGGCCGCCTTCCTGATCCAGTAGTCATTGAAGTTTGCATCCTCTACGTTGCCTGAGCAGGTGCTGGGCTAGCAGACATGCAGTGCTCCTTTCAGGGGACATGTGCTGGCCACGATCAGTCTCGTTCACTCGACGGACTATGAGGATCTGTTCTGTGCCAGACTGCGCTACTGCTGAGAATGTCAAGCTGGGCCATCCTCACTGGCCTTCATAAGCTTCTGGCATCTAGGGGAGATGGCACATCAGCAGATAGAGTGAAATACAACATAATTGCTGTGGTAACCCAGGGGGATGGGGATAAAATGGTGAAGCCTCAGTATCCTCACTACACTGGCCTGAAGAGTGGTCGATAGGTTCCATAAACAGGTGCTGTGGTTTGAATCTGTGGAGGGGGGACCTTTAGGGAGTAATTAGTGTTAGATGAGATTATGAGGGTGGGGCCCAGTTGATGACATACTACTTTACAGAATGAGGAGGAGAGACCCAGGTTGACATGCTTGCTCTGTCTCACTAGTTGATGCCCAACATCATATTATGATGCAGCAAGCAGAAAGCCTTTACCAGATGCCACGCAGATTTCTGCCAGGCTCTTGGGCTTTCCAGCCTTCAGGAACACGAGCCAAATAAACTTCCATTCTTTATAAATTATCTGGTCTTGAGCATTTTGTTGCAGCAACAGAAAATAGACTGCGACAGCAGACCTTGGGCTGAGCAACTGGGAAATCAATTTTAGCAATGACCCTAAGAAAGAAAGGCAGTTTTTCCAGAAAGGTCTGTAGAATCTTCCTCACTGGCCCAGCAGGCTATCAGAACAGAGGAATACAGCTGCTAAAGGCTGTTCAGTGAGTGAGGATGCGAGCCACAGCCTTGTGCTGCTTTTCCTGTGCCTTATGTTAGGAGCAAAGCACAAATGCAGACTGAGACTTAATGTGAGAGTTCTGGGACAAGAATCCAAAGTTCAGATGAGGCGGCATGGGAGCAAACCCTGCAGGTCTCCCAGGGAACCACCTGGCCTGGTGAGAGATTTCCTGCCAACCTGGTTCTGGGAGAGATGGAGGGGTATGAGTATGATCTTTATTTGCAAACTGTAGGAGCAGTAGCCTCACATAGCAGCACCTGCATTCTAACACACTGTGTGGCGATGTACCTATGTTTTGACATCCATGCAAATATGCCTATTTCGCAGGATAGATCTTGTCAGCTTCTTCACATATTTCTGACTTTTTAAATAGTTTTATTTTGGGTTTAATGGACAAACACTGATTGGACAGGCCTCGGCCTCAGAAACGTCTGCCAGGCATTGGACTTCAAGGTAAGTTGCAGGAGGCAGGGTTATCATAAAGATGCTCAAAAATGTGTCTGAAGCTCATGGCCAGGTGATTGGCAGCTGGGACATGGTAGAGGCTCTGCAAACTGACATCTCCCCCTCTCCTTGTGTGTTCGTGGGGATATTGCCAAACCACACCCCAGCTGCCTCTGCTGCCAGTAGTACAGACACCAGCAAGCCTCTTTCTAGCTGCTAAAAGGCAGTGCTGAGTTGAGTACACTAAGTGGTGTTTTTTTAAGTTTGGAAAAGTGTCGAGAACTAGGATTTTTCCCTAAAATTATGTAGCATTGCTCCCGACAGAAAAGTGCTCATGTGAGAAAGATATTTCTCACATTCTGACACATGCCCAGAGTGACAATGTCTCCTTTATTTATAGATTTATCCAATTAACAAGTAGGGAACACAGTCTGCACACAACTAAAACATTACCCAGTTTTGGCATCTCTTCCCAGAGTGCTATGTGCTGTGGTCAACTCTCCTTTTAGGGGCAGGATTCAAAATCAAACACACCTTACAAACAGGTCCTTACAGAGCTGGGCTAGTGATGGGGACTAGGACATTCTTCATGTCTCTCCTCCAGCCACAGTGAAATTGTCTAGGCACTGTCGTAATGATGATCTCAAGAAAGTAATTTAACTCTGCGAGCTTCTAGATCATTAAAGGATAATTCTCTCCCATACTGCAAGAGAACTGTGAAGTTAAAGATAGAATCCTTGTGTAAATTTTGATAAAATGTAAGCTAGTAAACAGAGGTAAGAAAATATTATTATTATTGTTAATTTTATTCTGCAGTATTTGGAAATGTATTATAGTTGATACAGTCAATTTTTCATAAATTATTTCCAGAAAGTTATCGTAGTTTTGATAAAGACACAGGAAACTCTTAGACTGCTTCTTGATTGGGGCCAAGCAACAGCTATTAAGTGTTTTTAAAAAATGAACCAAAAAGAGTGAAATTAGTTGATTGCTTGGTTCATTGAGTTGACTGACTCACCCTTCAGGCCAGGAATAGACAATTCTTGTGCACTAAAGTTTACTGTTGAAGGGGAGGGGTGTCCAGGGTGGCAGAACTGGGTGCCACTTGCTTATCTCAGCTGGTAGGGGGGGAATGCCAGCCATCAGCGCCAAGATGGCATGGGGTGCAGCATGCTTCTGGATTTGTGCTGTCTCTGCCCACCCACCTCACCCTTACTTCTTGCCCACTCTGCCAATTATTTCCAGAACTTTAATGGGGAGCAAAGGGGTGATATCATGGCATGCTGAGGGTGTGGTCTCACGCTCCCATTCCCCCAAAACTGTGAGTTCACCCTTGACTTTTCCCAGCCTCTGAACTTTCTGTTCTTGGCAGGGAAGGAGAGAGGAGCCGAAGTTTGGAATTGATTCTCCTCAGCCTGCTCTCCTTGTAGTACAGAGAGTTAGAGCCTCTTGGGGCCTATTGGTATCCCCCAGATTCACATGCTGCGATATTTTAAAAATTAATTTATGGGTACAATTTAAATACACGTAATGATCACATTCATCAAAGGAGGTTTCTACCTGTACATTCTATAGCTTTATTCCTTCTTTTCTCCCATTCCCCTTCCCTCCCTTCAACCTCCCTTCCCTCCCTTCAACCTCCCTTCCCCTTATTTACAAAAGCTTTATTTCCATTTTTTTGCTTCTTTTATCGATTTTTCCCTCCCCCTCTCCATTCACAGTTTCACTTTCCTTTTGAACAGTTTCTCCCTATTTCATATTACCTATTATACATTTTGGTCCCTGTTTACCCTTTCAGTTTCTCACACATGCTGCAGTTTTAACCCTGAGGGGATGGCTGGAGGTGGTGAGGCCCCTGCAGCGGTGAATAGGTCACGTAGGTGGAGACTCTCAGACACAGGGATTAGTGTCCTTACTGCAGGGGTCCTGAGAACTCTCTCACTCTCACTGCGCAGTGAAAGGTGTCTCTGAACCACTGAGTCTGGGGTCCCTACCTCAGAACTGGGGGGACATTTTCCATTTTCCATTTGAAGCATCTTGTCTTTCTGGTGTATCTGTTATGCAGCCCAAATGGATGGAGACAGCGCTGTACCTCCACATGCAGCCTTTGTTACAAACCTGGTCACTGGCTGGGCTCTGGGAAGTAAACTCTAAAGTGGAACTGATTAGGGATGGTTGCCAGTGGGCAGAAGGTGGTGAGGTGTCAGGTCAGAAGAGAGAGGACAGGCATCCTGGGCTCCACACACTTGGCCTACTCTTGGGCTGTGGACCAGGAGGGTGGAAATGGCTTTGCCCACTGTCCTTGCTCCTGGTCACCTCACGTGGGCTGCTCCAGGAAATGGATGGGTCTGCCCTCAGCAGAGGGACAACATCTTGAGGAGCCTGTGTGGAAGAGGTCTGGGAAGTATTTCCCACAGCCACACAGGAAGCAGCTGGCCAGGATTCTGGTGGCCTTGCATCCTCAGAAACCCAGAAGAAGCAGACTAGCAAGGTGAGACACAGCCCCTATCACTGAGGCCATTCTCCAGACCCCATGGACATGACCGTCCCCTGTTCCACTGTGTGTTCTCAAGCCTTGTCCCCTGCCCCTCCCGGGGACCCTGTGTCATGGGTCGAATCTAAATGTCCCCCTAAAGCCTTAGACCCTCATAAGGTCTAAGGTGGGGCTTTTGGGAGGTGGCTAGATCATGAGTGTGTGATACTGGGATTAAGAGTATATGGGATCAGTCCACTGATTGGTTTAGCACAGATCTGGGTGTGGATAATGAGAAGTCACACTTTGGGTGTGGGTGGCACCAACCAGTAGGCTTGCTGCTTTGCTGCCTCCTGCCTACCCTGCTATGGACTGTTTCTCTGTGAAGCCCCTCTCCCATGCCACCCTGCCTTGGAGCTAGCCAACTATAGACCTCTACAAACTGTGAGATAAAATAAATTTCTCCCTTAACTTGTGGGTGTCAGGTATTCAAGAACAAGAAAGTAACCAAGAGACCTGATATCTTTCCTGTAGGGGATCCAGAACCTCACTCCCAGAGGCCCTGAGTCCCCTATCCCATGTCTGTCTCCCTCTAGGCTTGTAGCACTTGTGCCTATATAGTTGTAATTATCCAGAGGGACCCAGAAGTTCACCTGGACTGCACACCTGTTCCTTGAGTCCCAATGCAAATACCAGCCCACCTCCTCCTGAACCAATGTTGTACAACCCTGCTGGCATAGTGACTTCTCTTCTTCTCTTCTGATCTCTGTCTAGAAGACCCCAGGCATCAATCATACCACATAACCCAGTGGGAGCCCTACAGATGCCCTGAAGAAAGTGTGCCCCTCTGGGGACCAGCACCCCTGACCCTGAGGACCAGTATCCACAATCCTGGGACCAGCACCCCGAACCCTGCAGAGCCCACTTCATGGGGGTAGGGAGTACAGAGCCTACTATGGGTCACCAGGGGTCGATAGTAAGTGGGGCTCATGCTTCCATGCCTTAGTTCCTGGACTCTGGATTCTTCCTTCAAGGCATACACTCACTGAAGATGTTTGGTGTGTGTGGATATTATACCCTGTAGGATGACTCCCTGTCCTTGTAGAGTGTTGCCTCCTGGCCTGGATCCTTAGCTGCAGCTTCAGTGGGCTGCTTTTGAACCCCCCACAACTGGCAGCCTAGGAGACAAGGTACATATAACCAGAGGACCTGGTGGTCTCAGGCCCCTGCAGGATTCCTTTGCAGAGCAGAATGTGAAGAAGCCAAGAGGTCTTGGGCTCCTATTTTCATATGGGAGGTGCAAGTTACACCAACTCACCCTTTATATCAGAGAAAATGTCCCAGCCTCACACTCTGACCACTCCCTGAGTGGGGTCAGTGGAGCTATGGAGATCAACTCTGCTCAGCTACTCATCACAGAGGGTACGATCCAGAGTTAGTCACTGATTACAGTGGTTTATATACTGCTTGATTTAAATCTATATAAAAATACTAAGAAAGAAAAGCAGCCAGGAAGCAAGCTCACAGGCCCTCCCTGGGTCTGTCTGCTGCCAGCATGTCTGCCTGGTAGGTTTAAAACCTCACTTCTGACTCTTTAATCTCATATTATTAAAGGCAATATCAAGCATAATTGCCATGTCAGCTGTTTCATCCTTGCAGAAAGGCTGTTGAATTAATTTGCGCACACTGAGAATCAAGTCCTTAGGAACACAAATAGGCAAGTCCATAGAAGGAGGAGCGGCCACAGAGAAGGCCTCTTCAGCCATAGTAAGTTGGCACTGACATCCCTAACTAGGCTCAAGTCCTCACCAAGCTGCCCGAAGTGTTTGCCTCATTCTACTCCAAAATCAGTCCTGGGGGAGAGGGCAAGTTTATTGCCCCCATCACACCTAAGAAATCTGTGACTCAGTAATTGTTTAAAGTCATGGGATTAGCATGTCAAGAACCTAGGATCCTACCAATATCTGTCTACCTCTGAGCCCCACATGAGCCTGCCCAACTCAGCTGCTGGCCGTAAGATTGAAGTTTGGAGAGTTTAACTAGACATGATTGGCAAAAATTGCTTAAGGCTCTGGGGCCAGCTCGCTGGAAATGTAAGTTGGAATAAATAGAGGTGATGAAAATGAAAGATGGAGTGGTAGATATAGATGATTCAAAAAATTATAAGCCTGCACTATAAGTATAATGAAGTATTTTCATTTAATGGTCAAAGGGCCTCCCATTTCTCTCTGCCATCCTAGTCTTTAAATGTCACCAGGGATTTTCAACATATTTATTTCTTGTTACTTTATTGACCTGGAAAATTTACCCCAAATCCCCTTTTCTGCTGCTTCCAGAAATCTTCCCCGATTGCCTCATCCATGTGTTTCCCACCCTGGGCCACAAGCAGCACTTGATAGATTGTCTTGTCTTTCCAGAGGTTCTTCAGGCCCAGGGCCATGGATGGTTCTCTTCTTTCCCAACAAAGCATATTGCAATATTTCTAGGACATCTGCTGGACCAAGCTACGCTGCATGGAACTGTCAAGACAGAATTTCTGAGACACGCCAAGCTTCCAGACCCAAACCAAAAAGTGAATATGCAGCACCACGGAAAAACTACTCTCTGAATTAAGCTGGTGAGATCAGTGGCTCCCACTGAGACCACAGCCCCAGGTGTTCCCAGAAGGGAGGACAGCAGCACTGTCCCAAGACAACTGTCCAACCAGGACCCTTGCGCACCCCAGGTTTAAGGTCAACCATGGGGGGCAGTAACTGTCACAGGGAGCTTGTCTGTGAGCCCCATGGGGACTGGGAGCTTCAATTTTACCTATATAGGGTGGCATTGGTGCCAGAAGTGGGGACTGCCACTTTCAGAGGTGGGGACAAACAGCTTGGAGCCCAGGATCCCATTGTGTTCAGCCAGACATTTGAGGTGCAGTTCAGAGCAGCTTTCTGGGGTGCCTGACCTGTGGGGATGATGGAGCCAGAGCTGAGGAAGCTCTTTGCAAGCTACTTTGCTCCATGATTGAGGATGAGAAAGGTTTGTGCTGGGAAAATGGTCTCACAACAGAGGCACAAGGGGCAGCGAAGCCCTGGGTCTTGAACAAAGAAAGGTGGATGGAAGTTGGAAGAGGATGGTCTGGGGAGAGGCAAATTCTGAGAACAGAGAAAGTACATGGAGTTGGGAGTGGAGAAGAGAACTCTGAGACTGTGCCAGGGTTGGAGAGTGGAAAGAGTTATTGTTCAGGACTGTGGCAGGACAAGGATCTGTTAGAAGCAGCCAGGATCAGAGGGATGAAATCAGAATTCCAGAGGGGCTGAGTAAGGATCCGGCTCACTTTGTTTCCAGCAGAAATATCTTCAGACCAGGATGGCGTAGGCTCAGGGCTGCTGTAATTCTAAGTGAGACACTGTGTGCTGTGGGCAGTCCTAGGCACTGCGGGATGTTTGACAGCATCCCTGGGTTCCACTCACTAAATCCCAGGAGTATCCACACACCAGTTGTGACAACCAAAGATCTCTCCAGACATTGCTAAACAGCTCCTGGCAGGCGAATCACCCCTAGATGAGGATCATGGTTTTAGACTGATCACTGCTGACTTTAGCTTCTCAAACTATTTGCAAGCTTGGGGTGTACCACTTACCGATTCTGACAAGCAGGGATGGGCAGACTCTTGGAAAATGTGCACCATAAAAGTTAATGACTCGGGCTTTCTGGCTTTGATTCTGTTCAGAGATAATTACAGTATGGTGGGAAGACAGAGCCACGCAGACCTGCTCAGATGCTTGCTGCACCCAGGGCTGCACTTCCACCTGCAGGTCCTTCTGAGAGAGATGGAGACTTCGGACAGAACAAAGAAGTTGCTGGCTGCTCACGTTGTGCTCTTTTTGGAGGCTAATCCACAGGGCACCTTCCCTGGTACTGGTTAGGAACGAATCACTGGGATTGCTCTGGGCTCTTGTCCTAGTTTGTTTTGCTGAATCTTTTCCCAACCCTTTTGTGGGCCAAAAAACCAAATATCAGGGTATGAAACAGGACAATGCCAAAGGGAGGATAAAGGGCAAGCTAAGGGATCAAGAGTCCCAGGGGTGTGGTTTCTCACCTGTCACCAAAATCTGTGCAAAAGTCAGCAAAGAGCACAAGGACACGAAGGGCCACAATGTGTCCTGCCAGGCAGACTGCAAAGGGGGACACAGGCTTCCAGTGCTCAGCATGTGGCTCCAGCCACCTTTGGCTTCCAACTGCTGCATCTGCAGCTCCGAATTGCCACCTGATGCTGGTGACAGAGCCTGTAGCAGCCCAGAGTCCTGGAGTGTCAGAAGCTTGCCCAGGAGCCCTTAGCCAGTGACTGGAGCACTGACTGCTGACAGTGGTCTACATTAGCCCCAGGGTGCCTCATTAGGCTCAAGCTCCAGATAACCCCTGCAGGGTTTTGCTTGAGAAAGGATCCTTTATTGGCTATGGCTTTGCCTGTGGCACTCCCTTGTTCTCTTGCTGGGCTTTTCTGGAAATCCCCTCCTAAACAAGCTGTTTGCAGACTCTCAACTTAAGGTCTGTGTTAAAGGGACACACACACACACACACACACACACACACACACACACACACACACGAGGACAGTATGCTGCTAACCTGGAGTTTGCATCTGTCTGGCTGGGCCGCATTCACAGGCAGATGGACGCACACAAACATGCAACTCATAACACACGTCAGGTATCATGGTTGCCACCCACTGGGCACGCAGGAAACTTAATTTCTTTGAGTTTCATTTTGAGATTGGTTGACCTGATTTCTCATAACCAAAGCAAGCATTCACTCTAGATGGCTAGGAATCTGTGTTGATTTGTGTAATCTCATTTGGATTGGGCCTCTCTTTTCAACACATTTTTATATCTTGCATTTCAGTTTCTACTAGCGCACAGTTCCTTGCTGCTGCATTTAAAGATAGCATATTTTAGAGCTCACACAGATAAGTTGAATTGGGATAGAATCTTTACTTAAATCCCTACTTTTTAAGAATTTCTTGCATTTACCATCAGAACTCCTGCAGTTCTACTTAAGAGAATCCAGGTAATGTAAAACTCTGAATAATATTTATTAACACTTTTTCTTTAATGGCTAAGAAGAAAACCTCATTGCAATACCCAAGGGTTCAATTTCTTTAATGATTTCCTTTTTTAAAATTTGATTTTATTGTATATATTTAAGTTGTATATAACATGTTTTGTTTTTTTGTTTGTTTGCTTATTTGTTTTGAGACAGGTTCTCACTATGTTGTCCAGTCGGAGACTGGGTCTTGCTATGTTGCCCAGCCAGGCCTCAAACTCTTGATTTTCCTGTCTCAGCCTCCCAAGTAGCTGGGATTATAGAACATGCTATTGCATCTGGCCTCAACATGGTGTCTTGACACACATAAAATTTGTGAAACTATTTCTATAATCAATCAGTTTAATTTTCATCTCCTTACATAGCTGCTGTTGTGTTTGTGTAGTTAAGAGCACCTGACAGCTACTCTTGGGGCAACTTCCAGTATACAGTCCAGCATTCCTGACTATACTCATCATACTGTGCACTGGAGCTCTGGCCTCGCTTGCGCTGGGAGCTGCAGCACTGTACACTTTGGCCAATATCTCCCCTCTCTTCCCTTCTTACCCCACTGCTCTGCCCTCTGCTTCTAGGTATTTGACGTTTTAAAATCTACATACAGTTGGGATCACATAACACTTTTCTTCTGTGTCTGATTGATTTCACTTGGCATGTCTTCCATTTCGTCTACATTGTCACACAGCAGAGTCACCTTCTTCTTAAAGGCTGAGTGATACTTTATCATAGCTATTGTCCCAGAGTCATATATTGTATAATTAATATGTAATATATTTTATATAATAATTATAATAGATTATTATATATTGGGTGTATGCTCATATGTATCCTGGAATTTCTTATCCATTTGTCCATCAGTGAACACTTACATTATATCCATATCTTGGCTGTTGTGAATAATGCTGCAGTGAGTAGGAGTGCAGATATCTCTTAGCTGTGCAAATTTCATTTCCTTGGGGGTTTCTGAATCATGTGGTAGCTCTAGTGTAATGATTTCTGAGGAAGCTCCATGGTGTTTTCCATAATGGCAATATCAATTACACTCCCACCAACAGTGTACAAGTTTCCCCTTTCTTTCCATGCTTCTGTAATCTCTTGTTTTTTTGATAATAGCTGTCCTTACTGGTGTGAAGTGGTATTTCATCCTGGTTGTGATTTGCATTTCCTTGATGTTTGATGATGTTAGGCACCTTTTTATATACCTTTTAGCTATTTTCATATCTTCTTTGGAGAAATAGCTGTTTTGATTCCTTGCTTATTTTTAACCAGGTTATTTTCATGTTACTGAGTTGTATGACTTCTTTATATATTTTGGACATTGAACTCTTATCAGACACATGATTCATGAATACTTTCTCCTAACCCATAGCCTGCCTTTTCATTTTGCTGTTTATTTGTTGCTACACAGAAACCTTTTAGTTTGACACAGTTCACCTGGTTTATTTGTGCTTCTGTTGTATGAGTTTCTGTTATGAAAGACACAAATATTTTAATGATTTCCCAGAAAAAAAATTCATGGCAAACCCAAGAAAAACTCAGAAGAACACACTACTGCATGTTCCACCATAGACAACCACAAAATTTGCTAATTTGTTTCTAATGTTAAACTAATTCACGGTCCTCATGGATGCAGCCTAATATTAGCTGAGAACGTTGAGATTTAGAGAAAATGATCTCAGCCTTCTTCTCTGAGATCTGTAGGAATTCCAATGCCCTTCTCCAGATTTCTGAACACTCCCAGGGACTTGCATTCTCTGCTACTTTCAGCTGCCATTGGCTATTTCTGTTGAGCTTTTGTTTACATGTGCTTCTTCCTCTTGTGGTGGTCTCTTCCAGCTCTCTATTAAACTCCTAGGACTTCTGTCTCCCTGGTCTTCTCCTTGGTCTTCTGTCTTAGTTCGTTTTCTTTTGCTTCAAGAAAACACCAGAGGCTGGTTACTTATACTTATTTCACTCATAGTCTACAGAGGTCAAGTGCCTGGCAGCAGCATCTGGTCAGTCTGCCAAGGGCCTTGGGTTACATCACAACATGGTGGGTGCACATGCAAAGAGAATTCTCATGAGAAGACAAGAAGCATGAGAGCGAGCCTGAGCCAAACTCACTTTGTAATAACCCTCCTTTTGCAGGAGTTAACCCACTCAGGCTGACCAGCATCAGTCCTCCTGAGTTGGCACTCTGTGAACTGTTCTACAATGAGCCCCCCTCAAGGTCCCACCACCTCTCAATACCACTGGTCTGAGGACTGAGCTTCCAACCATCACATGAACCATTGGGGAATCTTCTCAAATCATATCCAAAACATAGCATCTTCTTTCCCTTATTTCCAACAAATACATAAAGCTTTTGTGTGTGTGATCAATGTTAGCAAATGTGTGGGAAGTAGGAGGAGTTCATTGTAGAGTGAAACAAACATTTAAAAAAGAAGACAGGAGCATGCTTGTTCTTTTGATGACTCCACGCTGGGAAATTTCCACTGACCAATTGTCTCTCAAAGTCCTGGTCTCCTGTCTCCTGCCACAATGGCTGCTTCTTTCTCAGTCCACTAGACCTCTGCCCCTTTCCTCTTACGGTGAGTCACATGATTGTTTGCTAGAGATTCCAGCTTCTTTCTTTGAGGTGCCTGCCCTGAAGTGAATTAAACATCCCCACTCGGTCTAATCAAGAGTGACACTGTGACATGCTTTGGCCTATGACACATGTTGGCAGGTGGCAGGGATCACATCTGAGCAAAATCTTGCAGAGCCAAGCATGGTCCTTTAACTCTTTCTCTTCCCCTGGTGACTTGAAGCTTCCCAGAGAATTAGGCCTGGGAGCCCAGGCTAGGACACAGAGAACAGGGAGGATCTGGGCTGAGCACACTGTTAATTCTATTAAGCTATCTGAGCTTTCCTTTGAGTTTTCTCCTATGATCATGAGACAGCCATTCAATTCCATTTTAATTCCTTTATTTTCCTCCATTAGTGACTATTTAGAATCTCTGGGGCAGTGTTGAATAACGGTAATGGTAGCAGGAACTCTAAAGCATTCCTAGTCTGGGGGGAGAGATTCGCTAAGTATAATGTCCTCTATGTGCTTTCTATCAGATTAAGGAAGTTCTCTTCAATTCCTAGTTTCCTAAATAAGTGTTTTTTAAAACATGAGTAGATATCAAATTTCATCAAGTGCTTCTCTCCATGTTGATGTGATCATATTGTTTTTCTCCTTTAATCTACTAAAATGATCAGTTATAAGTAATTTTTGAATGTCAAATCCACCATGTACTACTGAAATTAAAAAAGCATCCTTTTTATATGTCACTGGGTTGGGATTGCTGTATTTTACTTAGGCTTCTTGCATTTGTATTTGTAAAGAGATTGGCCTATGTTTGATCTTTCTTGCAATGTCTTTTTCCTGGCATCATAAAAATAGTTGGAATTGTTTGGAATCAGTCTTGGAATTTTCTTTCTGTGAGCCCTTTATTCTTTTAGGTCAGTTTTGGTGCACTGAGTTTTTCTAGGAATTTTTAAAGTTTAAATTTATACTCATAAATTCTTCAAATAACCTTTTATGATTTTTTGATGTCTTTTATGATGTTCCCCTTGTACATTTCTCACTCTTGATCAACTTTTCTTTAGGGTGGGGGAGCATATTCATTATTTCTTGCTGCATAAAAAAATTACTCTTAAACTCAGTGGCCTATGGCAATAGACATTCACTACCTTGCACAGGTTCTGGGGGATTCTGGAAAGGAACAGCTGGTGATTCTGGCCCAGGTGTCCCATGAGGTCCCATTGCAATGTCACCTGACACTGCAGTCAGTGCAGGCTTGACCAAGGCCAGAGGACTATTTCTCCTTTGCCATGCCCCTCTGCCATGCCACCCTGCCTTAGAGCCAGCTGACTATGGACTGAAACCTCTACAAACTGTGAGCCAAAATAAACCTTTCCTCCTTTAACTCTAGGTGTTGCGTATTTTATCTCGGCAACCAAAAAAGTAACTAAAACACCTGTCTTCACAGTTAGCATGGACTTACAGCACTTACAGCACGGTCTCTAGGAAGTTGAACATCTTATCTACTGTTTGGCTTTCAAGAAGAAAAATAGAAACCACATCTGTTGTTAAGTGCATACATGTTTATAATGGTTCTGTGTTTCTGATGGATTGATTGACCCCTTTATCATTACAAGATTCTGTTTTACTTTCTCATTGCTGGGACAAAATATCCAACACTTACAAGATAAAGGAGGAAAGGTTTATTACAGCTCACAGTTTGTAGAGGTTTTAGTCCATGGTCAGCTGGGTCCAAGGCAGGATGGCATGGCAGAGGGACATCACAGAGGAGAAATAGTCCATGGCAAGCAGAGGGAAGGCAGCAAGCAGTGAAGTAGTGAAGCAGCAAGTGACAGGCAACTACCCTCTTTCTGTCTTTATCCAGGATATGCACCCTCAGGGTGGATAGCACTCACACCCAGGATGGGGCAGCCTTAATCCTAGCATCACAGCATGAATCAATCCCAGCAACACATCCTTGATTCCAGTACCACACACCCCAGATCCAGCCACCTCTGAAAAGCCCTACCTATGACCGCATGAGGCTTTGGGGAGACATCTAGATATAAGCCATAACTGTCTGCCATTTTACTATTTGTTTTTGTTTGTTTACTTATTTCCTTATTCCTCCCATCTTGCCTGGTCTTTGTGTTAAATTAATAATCTCACCATTGTAATTCACTGTTGTTTCCCTTGCTGTTCAGGTACAGATGGTTTCCCTCCCTGCCAGCTGGGTATGTTTCAAAGCAGAGGACTGGAGATTTTAATGACAGGCCTGTGCCCATGTGGGTGGTTCTGAGCTGCTCTTTCTTGTGGAATCATGGCAGCTTTGAGCAGTTTAGGTGGGAGGAAACGAAATTTCAAACTCTCCTCATTTTCTTCTCCAAGATCAGGAGGGAGCACGTCTGAAAACCCCAAAATGAGAAGGGACTTGATCAAACCAGCAAGAAAGTTAAGGGCACAACTCAGACAAACAGACAGGGCTCCTGACCTTTCTTAAAATTGCAGTGCAGTAGTCTTTCCATTTGCGTTCTTCAGCTTTTCATCATTGTAACAAACACCCGACACAATCA